GTATGTATGTATGCATCTGTGTATATGTGCCTAAGTGTATGAATGTGTTTGTATGTATATGTATGCCTGTGTGTATATTTGTGTGTGAATGTGTGTATAATCTACAGCTTCCTTGTTCTAATCCCAGTCTCTATCTTCACCTCTTTTCTGTGTATTACAATAATATGATACAGATAATATTATGTATGATATATATTATAGAGAAACATGCTGTTTTATATTTCAGATCTATCCAACCCTATTTACTATATCTCCAACTCTGGATTATGATATAATACCAGTGGCTGATTTAAACATTTCATTTTTCTTATAATGAGAACAAATTATGAAAAGGGGAAAAGAGGCAAAGGTTTGTCTCCAAGAGCCTGAGCCATGCTGGACGAAAGGAACATTAGGAAAGGAGGGTGAGTGCTGGGCAGTCTTTGACAATTCACAAAGAACAAACGTGGTAACAGCACAGGTGAGAGAAGCAGGAGGGCCTAGGGGCATCAAGCTCTGGAAGATGGAGCTGAAAGGAAAGTTGAAAAGCAGGCTTAAGGAAGAAGTCAGTCACGACTTTATACAGTGAGACTTAAGGCATTGGAACAGAGAACCGGCAAGAGGCAGGGATGCAGGATGCACTCAGAGATGAGATTAGAAGTGATGGAGAAGCCAGGCAGCTACTAAGATCTGCTGCCTGCTGCTTGCCAGGGCTCAAGCTAATTAGCTTGAACAGGGCTTTGCTCCAGGCGATTGGCTTGCTGATGTGGGAGACCCTAGGAAGCAGCTGACAGTACAAAGTAGGTTAGAGTGGTTGTATAACAAGAACCTAACATCCCATCTCTGCTCTGAAGAACTATGCCGCAGGAGAGCCTCATTGCCTCATTTATGGTCATAGACCTGGATGTATGTGTGATGAATGACACATTCCCTATAAACCATACATAGGGTGAGTCCTCATAGAAAGTATTAACACAATGAAGAAATATTTGAAGTCTCTCGTTGAGAAACCACTCACGGGATTATGTCTCTTAATGGCAAGAGTTTATTTAAAGTGATGGATATTTCTGAGAAAGAAGAAGAGAGAAATGGGCCAAGGCAGAAAAGACAAAATGCTGCATAATCAATACAAAAATTAATGCCCATTGCCCTTAATACCACAACAATCTATCTCATGCAGATGTCTTTACATAGGTACTGGTGCTTGGCAGGAGGCAACATCTACTTAGGGCACTCCTAAAGTGTTGTTCTGCAGTTCAGTGACTCAGCGATGCAGCAAGGTAAGGGATGTCACACCAGTTCATCACACCTGGATTCCCTGCAGAATCTGGTAAGGACAAACATGCTTTCACCAAAACCAATCACAACTCCCAGTCAAGGCTTTGAGACCTGCTGTGGGACACGAGACTCTCTCCCTGTACCTAGCTCCCAGCTCTTGAATCTCAGGTCATTGTGGGCTAGAGACAGAAGCTTAGTATGTAAGCAGTGTGGCTTTGGCTCAATTTCCTCTTTGTGGCTCTCTATCCCTGCCTAGGCCTGACTTGTTCCCTAAATCCCTTTCTGAGCCTTACTGTGAGTGGCAGCTCCCATGCTCAGCTCTGGTAATACTCCTGGCGCTGAGCATCAGAGTGGGCTGTTTCTGCTATCCCTGATGGCTCCTGTGATTCAGGAAAGAGCATTATCTCAAGGGAGGAAGCCAAAGGCTACAGGACAAACAGCTTGGGTGCCCCAAACCCACTCACTGGAACATGGTATTTGGGACAACCTCAATCTGTATTTTCAGGCCCTGGTTGCTCATGCTTGGCTCCAAAATAAACCTTCCTATTCCCTTGGTGGTGAAAGCTAGGTTTTTGCATTAGTTTTTACACATTATCTTGAAAGAACAAGATCATTTGCCTCTGGACTGGTAACATTACAAATCCCCATAGTCACTGATGTTTTATATCAATCTGCTTTATAGACTGTTAACACAAATGTGGTTTTTAGGAGGAGCATTTCCATCCATAAAGAACCCGCTAGAAACAGACATTTCTAAACCAGTAGTTCTAAACCATCCTAATTCTGTGATCCTTTAACATAGTTCTCCATAAAATTATGTTGCTGCCACTTTTTAACTATAATTTGCTAATTTATAAATCATAATGTAAATCTCTGATATGCATGATATCTGATACATGAGCCCCTCAAGAGGGTCATAACTCACGGGATGAGAACCACTGCTCTAAATAGCTAGAGTCTTGTTTTGTTGTTCTATCTTCTACACTAACACTCTTCTGTTGGAATAAATGGCACAAGAGAAGGGAAAATGATCACTGTCAACACAAAACACAGATCTCACCTCAAAAGGAATAAAGAAGTTTTATTTTGGAACCAAGAATTAGGGACCATGGACTGGAAACACAGACTTAGGTTGCTCCAAACACCATATTCCAATGTGATAATAGTTCCATGAAGTTTTTATACTAAACAGAATAAATTAATCCCTACACTAATGCACTTCTAAAGATGCACTGTTGTAGGCCCCTGTCATCTGGCCACAGTCCTAGCATTTGGTTTGGTGGGAGCCAGAGGTCTGTTTTCATGGTCCACAAAGGATCTTACAAGATAGACACAAGCATGTTAAGGTCAGATGCAGAGGTGGGCAAGGAGTGGCTATTTGGGGAGCTAAAATAGAACAAGTTAGTTTGCCTCCAGGGCTGGAAACTGCCAGTTCGCTACTACCATTGAAGTTTTAACCCATTGGCTTTCTGGAATGTTTGATGCAGTCACAGCTTTTACTGGTAACTATAGTTAATATCTGAAAGCTCCACTTCAGTTCTTTGTGTGGTTGACTATGGAGACACCCCCTTCACCTCCACAACACACCTGCAAACTGAAATGTAAGGACCTCTGGCTGGGTCTTCAATGGTACATCTGTTAACTGGTAGTGCTGCCAGACTCCTGCTGGTCGTCGCCCTGGGTTCTGGACTTAGACAGCACCTCTCTGTGGGCCTTAATATTGGCTGTCAATTTGGCAGGATCTAGAACTTCCTAGAAGTCATCTCTGGGTGAGCCAGTTGAGGAGTTTCTAGATTCACTTAATGAAGGTGATAAGACCCCCAAATGTGGGCAGCACCTTCCCAGGGGCTGAGGTCCTAGACTGAGAAAGCAAGCTGAGTGCCCGTGCCCATCTCTCTTTCTTCCTTCCTGCAGACAGTGTGACCAGCTGCTTCATCACCTCCAACTCTAATCCAAAACAAACCCTCTTCACCCTTAAATTGCTTCTTGTCTGGTATTTTTGTCACGGCAATGATAAAATTAACTAACAGACTCTCCTCACTGATTGTTTTTCTAGCTGGCACCTCAGCAGATATCGTCCTATCAAGTTTTAGAATCTGGCTGTAAATAGCAGGCAGGGTACATGTCTTCCATCCTAAGAGGGAGGTTGCTCAGTTACAGCTGGGCTCATCCACAAGGCAACACTACAAACACGGCTATTTATTTATTTATTTATTTATTTATTTATTTTGTGAGTTATTTGTTTAGTTCTGATACAGGATCTCACCATGCAAACCAAACTGGTCTTGAAACTCACAATTCCCCTGCCTCCATCCCTCAGTACTAGGGTTGCAGGCATGTGTCACATCTTCTAGCCTGCTTTGGGTTTTTATTTGACACTACAGAAGGAGATGGAAGATGCTTCATTTGACACTATAGGAGGAGATGGAAGATGCTTTCTGTCTACACTCAGCATAATCCACCCAGGAGACCAATTCTCCTGGATCCCGAGCTGTCAAAACATGGAACAAAATGCCTTTCCGTATAGCATAAGCGCCTGCTTTTGCTGATGTGTGGAACACATGGGGATGTCAGCACTGATATATCTTCTCAGAGTTCATCCAAGTCAACAGGCTTCTATTCCCAGAATATCTTAGTCCAAAGACAGAGCATCATTTTGGAAGACAGAACCTCAGACACTTGCCTATTGCTGCTCATTCCTAGCTGTAATGTAACTTCTTTGAAAGCTCAAGGAGGTCAGTCAGCTTAAAACACATGCCCCTTAGCAAACTGACTTTATAGGCACTGATAACGAGTCAGGAAAAATCAGAACACTGTCACTCCACTCATGTATTCAACATAGTAGATATGCCTCAGTTTTTTAAATGATAGTTCACCAATCTGCCTCATCCTTACAAATATACGTTACACCTGCTCACATTTGATTATAGACCTTGTCATCTTACTTTGTTACTTTCCTTGCTTGTACTTACTGCTTTTTTCCTAGCCTTTTCATGTTGTCTTGTAGATGCTTAGCATGTTCACATGTGTGTCCCTGTGCATAAAGGTGCAGGAATGTGTGTAGCTGTGCTTGTATGCAAGTGTATGTGTGTGTGTGTGTGTGTGTGTGTGTGTAGATACCAGAGATCACTGTCATCCCTCAGGACTCTGTCTACCATATTTTTTAAAGATGGCTCTCCCACTGGTACCTGGTGCTTACTGGTTAAGTTAGACTGGTTGGGCAGCAAGCCCCAGGAATCTGTCTGCCTCTGTCTCCCCATTGTTGGGATTACAAAGTCACATATCTAATCCCTGCTTTTATGTGGGTACTCCGGATCAAACCCAGGTCCTCATTCTTGCAGAGCAAGCATTTTACCAAATGAGCAGTTTCCTCAGTTCCTTACCTATACTTCTAAAATGCCACAAAGAAAGACAATGGTTTGTTTGTTATCACAAGACATTGCTATTTCTAATTCTTAGCTCAATATCCTATAGAATAACAATATATTTTAAAAAGACAGGGTCTCAACTATTTTGCCATGGTTGACCTGGCGTAGAACTATGCAGACCAGAATGGCCTTGAAATCATAGAGACCTGCCTGCCTCTGTCTACCAAGTGCTAGAAATAAAGGTGTCTATTTTACTCTAAGTAGATCACAAGATGAATCCAGATTGATCCAACATTTCTTGCCCATCAACCATCTTGGGTGCACAAACACCAAATTAGCCAGCTCTAAAATTGCAAGGAAATATTGTAAATAAGTTTATTTACAGCTTTTCCAGGTTCTTTAACTTTTATCAAATACTAAAAGCCTGGGGTTATGATGAACTCACTAGTCACCTTCCAACACCCTTAAGTGTTTTCTGAGAATATTTAATGTTTGTTCTACCATCTGATCTGAGAGACCCTGACTTACAGTAGTGGTTTTATGATCTATATTCCCATTTTCACATATACACTGGACCACAAAGTGGTCAGGATTCAAGCATCATTCAATGTGTCCCAGAAATCTTCACTCTAAATTCTTGTGATTTCATGTCAGAATGACTGCTCATCATTTGGGACTTCACCCACACAATATGGTACTCAATAATCTCTCTGAGAATTTGATGATTGTTTTAAAAATGACTCTACTTCTTGATGCTATTGACTGCCTATGACTTCCAGGAAAACATTAAGGCAATAAAAGTCTGTAAGATTTTTGAAATCTTGATATTTTTACTAATGATGTTGTCATCACACTTAGATGAAAATCTCAACTTCCCACCATTATCCATTTAACATGCACTGTGCTCACACGTGGACAATGCTGACAATGTCTTCCAATTGTGAAGCTGCCCACAGCATCACTTGTTGCTAAGGACACTGATAGGGGATACACATAACTTTTGTTTCCCTGATTGAAACATAAGTTCACGGGGTTCTTATCCAGGATTTTTGGTGAACTCACAAACACAATCAATCAGGCTTCCAAACTGTCTGCTTAGGTCAGACATTGGGAGTCTGTGATTCTGGAATACACTGCTCTGATTAGTCCATGTCTATCATATATGTGAGCTATTAACTACTGGTCACTAGCTAATCTAGATTAAGCTGTGCTAAAAGTATAAAATAACAGATTATAAAGATGTAATATGAAACAAAAAGACAAATAAGAAAAATTTTTATGATATTTACACATAGGAAGGATTGTCTTTGGCATATATTGAGTTAAATAAATGTATTAAGGATAATTATAAATAATTTTAACATTTTTGTGATGCAGCTACTAGAAAATTGATGGACATATAGATGTCGATGTTACATTTGATTGACAGTACTAAGTGCACTGTTCTGGATCCTAAACAGCAAAGTTTGGAAGAACAATACTCTAAGTTATGCCTATAGACTATGCCTCATCTGCAGCATAGAAAGAAACTTAAAAGCATGCCAGGATAAAGTAGAAATTGGGGGCACCTGGAACACAGGGTGCTAGAAAGCAAAATGATAGACTAGTCTATCCAAACCAAGGAAATGTGAAAGAGAAAAATAAATCACATTTTAAACCTCTAAACACCCTACTAATTTAAATAAAATTAAAACAACTACATAAATTTAAGGGGGTAGGAAATGTTTTTCTAATCGTAACAGAAAATCCAAATTTTAAAAACTGATGGATAGCTTGCCTTCATTAAAAGTACATTAGAAGGTTGTGGAGAGATTATTCAAGTGCTAAAAGCACTGACTGCTCACATAGAGGATCTGGGTTCAATTCCCAACACCAGCATGATAGCTCACAACTTTCTATTAACTCTAGTTCCAGGGTACCCAATGTTCTCTGGCCTCTATAGGAACTGGGCATACATGTAGTATACATATTTGCATGCAGACAAAACATTCATACACATAAAATAAAATAAATCAGCTTTTTAAAAAGTAAAATTAAGGACTGGAGAGTAGCTTAATTTCCATGGTTTTTTTTTTCACCTACATAAGTCCTTCAGTATCTTCTTGTCACCAGAGATTGGTATGCAGGGACACTCTGAAATTATGCTTCTGAGAACAGCTGTCTGGAAGGAAATGAAACAGTTATTATAAAATCACCAACATTTGCTTCCAGGAGTAAAAGGGTGAAAAATGGATTTTCCAGGGTTGCATGCAGACTGTGCTCTGGGAAGGATCTCTCAGCAGATGGATCCTGGTCATTGGAAAGTAAGCCAATTGTCTAATCACTGCTCATGGGGGAACCCTAAGCACTCATAACTCCATCAAAAGGCAAATGTGCCAACTTGAACACAAGTGTTCTAGTTAATGATGCAGAATTATATAAATGACCCACTAGGGGCTTGGATGTCTTTCTGAAGAAAACTGTATTTGCATATATTCATCTGTTGTCTGTTACTAAGACAAAATCCCGGGACTGAGTAATTTACAAAGGTAAGTTTTATTTAGCTCACAGTTTTGGCAGTTCAACATCATATCACTGTATTAGTCGTTTTTCTCATTACCCTGGGAACTGCCTGTCTCTGCCTTCCAAATTCTAGAATTATAATTGCATGCCACAGGATGACTGCAGGACTTTCAGGCATCACCTGAAAGAAGAAGAGACAGTATAAATAGCAAATAGGAAAATGGGTCCAGACAAGTCAATTTACTTTATATATGCTTGCTTACAAGTCTCTTTACCAAATATTCTAGCATCCCATTGATCACCTTTGCCCACAAAGTATGGAATGGAGAAAGTAAAACCATAGTGTTTTTTTTCTAGATACATTGTTTATAAAAATTTGTCCTTCTGTTTTAAAACAAATGAGAGATGGGAGATTGCTCAATGAGTGGAGTATTCACACTGCAACATGAGGGTCAGAGTTCAGATCCTAAACCTTCATCTGCAAGCTCTCAAATTCACCTGTAGCTTCAGTGCTAGGAGGTGGAGACAGGAGGAGCTCAGGTAGCCTTCTGGCCAGCTAGTCTAACTGAATACTGAGCTCCTGGTACAGTGAAAAATGCTGTCTCAAAAAAATGGTGGAGGGAGATGTACTGATGGACATCTTTAACTCCAGCATTCAAGACACAGGGATAGGTGATTCTTTGTGAGTTTGAGGCCAGCCAGGGCTACATAGTGTGCCTCTTTCTCAACAACAACAATTACAATATAATAGATTAATCAAACTAAAATAAAGGAATGTAAACATGTGCAGATAACACATATACAAATGGAGAAGGAATATTGGGGTAGGTAATGGCTTCTGTCTAGGCTGTTATCAATTCCTTCCAGAATGATGGATGTATAAACACAGGCACTACATCTTCTCAAAACTCATGCAGTGAAGAGCAAAGGGTATTTCCCATGACACTAACCAATTTTCAGACTTCTCTTGGCCTATAAAGATAAAATGACAAAGTAGAGATCCCTTTACCCCAGGCCTTTAGTGCTTTTTAGTGTGAGGAAATACATGGTTTGAAAGCCCTGTATGCTGCACACTGACTCCCCCAGGGCCAAAGAGAGTGCCATGAGTGGCATGCCCTTAACACTAGTCATGAATTGTGTCTAATGTGTGATTTACTAAGATTTTTGAAATTCCTCCCACCCTTATATTCATGGAGTTCATTGATTCTATATGACCATACATCCGTGTGGTGCAGCCTGCAATCCCAGTACTAAAAGAGCAGGATCATGTGTTCAATACCAGCTTGATTTACATAGTAAGATCCTGTCTCAAATATACAAAAGCCCAATTACTTTAGCCTTTTACTTTACACCCACTAAGATGTGCTTAATTGCAATCAGTGTGCATGAAACCTGTTTTTCAAGTTAACCTCTAAGATCTGACAAAGAGGCACATAGACTTGTCATCATCTATAATAAAGCATACAGGGTTTTAATGAGGGCAATCACAATGTGCAAGGATGAGGGTAGAGTGTGTGGCTCATCACTAGCAGGATAGAGATGCTGTTGATGGTACTAATACTTACCTTATATTAACATCCAGTAATCTTTACACTATAAATATCTGAATCTATGTCCTAACAACTCCATGCTTGAGTGTCTTAGGATTTTGAAATGAGTTGTTATGTCTTCTTCAATTGAACAGTATGTCTCAAGCTGGGGGGGGAGTGTCTGCCTCACTTAACATGATGCTAATTAATTAATGATTGAACCACGCCATTAATTCTAGCCTACCCCTAGAGATGTATAACAGGAGTTCAAGGTCAGCTTAGTCTACAGAGGATATTCCAAGCCAGCTGGGGCTTCATAGTGAAGCCCTGCCTGTGTTCCATCATAACAAACCACCAGACTCTAGTTTTCCCTAGCATGAGCTAGGCTATGGGACATTTTTTACAGCACAAGTATAAAGATATTCTTGCTTATTTTGTGAATTTTTTTTTTGGTGGGGATGATTCTGTAATAGTGATCACATGTTATCCAGGCAAATTCCAAATTAAAAATGTCAAGAATAATAGCTCTCACTCTATTTGCTATTCCTGCTAACATAGACATAGACAAGCTGATAAGAAAATCCAAGGTCAAAAGTGTATAGCAGGAGGGCTGGAGAGATGACTCAATAGTTAGATCACATACTATCCTTAACAGAGGACTCACGTTTGGTTCCCAGCACCCACACTGGCACTTGTACCTCAAGCTCCATGAGCCTTCTTCTTGACTTCACTGGCCTTGCCCTCACATGAACACACCCTCATACAGGCACAAAAATACATGCAGGGTAAAACAAAATACAAATTTAAACATGTAGTTGGTATCTTAGTTACTGTTCCATTGCTCTGAAGAGATACATGATTAAGGCAACTCTTACAAAAGAAAGTATTTATGGTAATCTTTTTGTTTGTTTGTTTGTTTGGTTGGTTGGTTGGTTGGTTGGTTGGTTCTTTGAGACAGGGTTTCTCTGTGGCTTTGGAGGCTGTCCCAGAAATAGCTCTTGTAGACCAGGCTAGTCTCGAACTCACAGAGATCCACCTGCCTCTGCCTTCTGAGTGCTGGGACAAAAGGTGTGCACCACCACCACCTGCATTTATGGTTATCTTGCTTACAGCTGTTTTAGAGAGTTAGTCCATGACCATTATGATGGGAAGCAGACAGACACAGCACCGGGGTAGTAGTTAAGAACTTTACATCCTGATCAGGAGGCAGCAGGCAGAGAGAGAGAGAGAGAGAGAGAGAGAGAGAGAGAGAGAGAGAGAGAGAGAGAGAGAGCAAATCTCTGGGAAGCAAGCCTTGAGGTACACAGCCACTGACTACTTCCTGTCCTGCATCTACTTCCTGGTCTGAGGAGGTATGAACAGACTGCCTCATGTTTCTGCATCACAGCCTTGAGTTATTTCTCTCACCCAGCCTTCCCAATCACACTGGACTGAACCCTAAAACAGTGAGTCAATCAAATCCCTTCCTCCCTTAATCATTTACACAATGAGACAAAAGCAGTAATTAATACAAAGGTGCTGGCCCTTGGTTGCTCATGCCTTTAGTACCAGCACTCGGGAGGCAGAGGCAGGCAGATCTCTGTGAGTTCGAGACCAGCCTGGTCTACAAGAGCTAGTTCCAGGACAGCCCCAAAGTCACAGAGAAACTGTCTCAAAAAACAAAACAAAAAACAAACAAACAAAAAACTAATACAAAGGTTTGTTGTATTATTGACCATTTTCAAACTCTAAAGGGAAGACTTGCAAAAGACACCTTAAATGGTTAGAGCTAATACATAGATGTTCAAGAAAGGGAAATGGTGACACTGTTGCCAGCTTGGGCTGCTTATTATCACACAAAACAGACATCATTCAGAATAGAGCAGAGGCCGTGTGTTTACCCATCCTGCTTGCTATGTAGCCCATCTCTGCAACTCCATTGGTTTCTAAGCATCTTCTCCTGTTTCTTCCCACAGGTGGTGCTGTTTCAACCTCACCCTTCCACTCCTAGTTGCACATTGAAAATACTAAAGAAAGGAAACCCATTTGTGTGGTTTATCAGATCCTGCCTAACATGGATTACCCTGCTGCCAATTTTTTTCAAATCAAGTATCTATGCTTCATTTAGCATGCTTTCTGTGTCCATTTTCTGTTGCTATTACAGACCACCTGAGCCTGAATGTTTCATGCCAAAAACTAATTTCTTGCAATGTTGGAAGGTTTTTAAATCCAAGGCTGAGGAAAAGCATCTGGTATGGGGCAGTGTCCCCTGAGGTTGCTCTGTAGAAAGCTGAGGCAGGGAGGGGCAGGACAGAGTGAGAAAAGTAGCCAGACAGTTCCCCTTAATAACAAAGCCATTCCAAGGCTGAAGAGACTGTTCACTAGTTGAGAGCATTTAATGTGCTTTCACAGGACCCAGATGTGTTTCACAGTACCCCCACAGTAGCTCGGGACTACTGTAACTCCAGATCCAGGGTATCAGATGGCCTTCTCATCTCTAGGGACAACTTCATGCATGTGGTACATATAGACTCAAACAGGAAAACAATACACATAATAATAAATAAACCTTAAAAACAGTCATTCTATCTCCTATGAATGCATTAATCCATCTTCCCATGGACTAATGAATGGCTGGATGTTCATGCTTCAGATATCTGAACTCAAAGATCCTACTTCTCAAGTGCCTTTCACATATGACATTGTAAACTGAGTTTCTAACACATAAAATCTGAAGACACACTTAAACTGCAGGCTATCTATTCCTACACCACAGACCATGGACCCGGGTACCCTGTCATGTCATGAGGCAGGTGGCATCAGGCCTGCAATACTTTTATATGAAAAGACACTTCCAGACCCTGGGCTGGAACCAAACACTGCTCTTTCATTTAATATAACTTGGAGTTTTGTTTATTTGGGATTTGAACTATTTTCCAACCTGTTCTAATTAATTAAAACACTGACCTATAATATCAAAGTCCCTAAGAATTAAGAATTGGTGTCCAGGAAGACCTGCCCATGCTTGAGATGAAATACCATGCTAGGAAAGGAGAGGGTGTTGGGTGTGGTTTTCTGAGAAGGAAGGTGACAATGGACATCTCTCTTATCAGAACTCATTTCTCTAAGGATCCTGGACTGTATTTGTTCTGGCTCTGTGTCTTCCCTTCAAGGGCTTTTATAGCATACACTGAAGCATCTTTTAACAGACAGAGAAATTTCCTCAGAAAGTTTTCTTTTTTTCAAAAGGAATGATGTCTTTTCTGTCTGGGCTGGAAACCATTAGTTATCTTCATTTTAAGATTGTTCACCTTGGGCCATGAAAGATAGAGGTTCTTGCTGGCTGTTAGCTCTTCAAAGACTGGCATATTTTCAGTATTCTGGGTTCATCAATGACATTTAATTGTATGTTTAAATCTTGATCAAAGTGGGAGAAACTGCTGGTAATTTTAATAGCCCTTGTATGGTTTTAAAAACATTTAAAACCACATTTGCTGTCTATTTGGAGAAGTAATTGTACAAAACAATTTTCAACCCCCATCCTTAGAAACTGGAATGGTGAACTTGTTCATCAACTTGAATTCTAACAATCTCAACTTGAGATTCTTAACAACTGGCAGACATGCCACTGCCTGTGAGGCTATATCCAGTGATGACTAGATCATGAGTGCCTGTAGTCTACTCAAGCATTATCATGTGTCCTATTGAGCATTTGAATACAGTTTTGTAGGTGGGTTTCCTATGTAAGGAGAGGCCTTGTTGGAGGGGGTACTTTGTTGAAGGCATACTATTCAAAGGTTGCACTTGGTTCTGTCCTCTTCTTTTTCTTGCTTGCTGCTTCCTGAGTGTGGTGGGTCAGCAGACTTTACCACAAGCTGCTGCTGACATGATATATTGCACTAAAAAAAATCAGACTTCTTTAATTTAGAAAAATCATCTGTTCACACCACCATCCTGCCCCACCTTAATGTTATTTATTTATTTATTTATTTATTTATTTATTTATTTGTGTGTGTGTGTGTGTGTGTGTGTGTGTGTGTAGGAACCTGCAGAGGCTAAAAGAGGATGTCACTTCTCTTGGAGCTGGAGTAATAGGCAGTTGTGAATTACTCAGTGTGGGTTCTAGGAAATGAACTCAGGTCTCTGTTCTCTGTAAGAACAGCAATCTGTCTTAACCACTGAGCCATTTCTTCAGCCCCCATCCTGTCCCATCTTGACCCTGGAATTCACACTCCCTGCATTTGGAAGTTATCACTATTTTAAAGGAAACAGATACTGTCTCCCTTCAGGTTTTCACAAATGGATGACAGTTACAATTCTGTATTGGCTCTGACAGACTACAAGACTGAGTGAGGAGTCACACAGTCTCAACAGGAAAGGACATGAAACAAAGGTATCTGTGACAGGCTTTGAAAAATTCCTTCCACATCCTGAAGTGCTACACAAAGTTCAGGGGAGGCCACTATATAGGACAGAGCACAGGATAGACAGGGCAGATCAAAATGGAGTTGCTCATGGTGATGTTCACACCATCAAGCCAAAGCTGAGCTATCTATGATGGGGGGCAGGGAGCAGTGCAGGAGAGGAAGGAAGAGAGAATGAGCAGCCACATCTCAATTGGGTCAGCTCTGGGGAACCATATGGAAGTTTCTTTGCTTTAATGTTAGCAAAGAAAGTAACTGAAAGCAGCCACATGCTTTTCATTTCCTGTGCCTGTTTTCCATAGCTCTCTCTGCCTATAAAGCCAGCCTCCACCTTCAGCTCATTACCACATTCATCCTACTTACAGAATGAGAGGCTTCCCACTTCCAGAACTGTGGTAGAAGCCAATCGAGACCTTATAATGCCAATGTTTGGCAACACTCCCTGCCGAAGGAGGAAGGTAACAGAGATAACCAATGATGTTTTTCCTGCACTTCTTAAAACACACATCACCATTTCTTGCTTCACTGAATTTAGCAATCTTTCCTGTCAAGTCAAAGTCTAGGCTGTCTTTTAAAAATTAGACTGAAGAAATTAGCATTTCTTGGTGCTTTTAGTGTAATGCATTTCACACTCAGTAACCTGTGGGTCCAACCTGCTAGGGTAAGCATCCCGCCTGCCCTCCGGTGTTCACTGAAAAGAACATTTCATAATCATTATTGTGCCAACATGCTTGAAAACCATGTTTTGTAAACTCCCTTCTGTTTTCCCTAGAATTTAATAAAAAGATGTTAGAATAATCTTGATGAAAATATTGTCCTGTTTTTCTATCCTGACCTTCAGAGTCTGATAAAACAGAATAATATTCAAAATTTCAGAAATAATTATGGAAATTAAATACCTGGGGAGAAGAGAGACAGGGAGAGCAATATTTTTTCTCTGATTTGTTTTCTGGCATGAGGGGTAACTCATTTTTCTTACAGCAAAATGTTGGCTCCAGCTAAAGGGAGTGTTTACCCAAATACTGATTATCATCCATGAATTCTGGCTTCTTCACAGTTACTTTTGTGATTTGCACAAAACAGGAAGCTTAAGTGATTATGACTTCATATGGCAGCAAGTTGACCTTGTGCAAACAAGAACAAATTATTTGCACAATTGTGCACGGCTATCCCTGGAAACACAGCACCACACAGAAAACATGCAGGAAATGCATTCTTGATTTAACTGTGAGTCTCCATTTGCAACTAAAAAGACAATTTTAGTGTGAGCTATCGATAGAATTACAGAATGTCATTGTCAGAAGTAATCATCATTTACTGGAGTGGAAAGTAAGAGTCAGAGAGGAGCAAGGCAAGGTCATCCAGAAAGCATCAGATGGAACTGCAGTGTGCTGTGTGAGCTTATGCTTTGCGTCTGTGTATATTTGCATGCACACATATGTGCCCATGGTATGGTCACAGGTGTGTGCATGTCTGCATGCTTGTGTGAACACATGTGCATATATGTATGTATGTGTCTCTGTGTCTCAGTGTGTATGTGTGA